TAAATTAAAATTATAATACAATTAAAAAATATATGTATTTTTAACCGAAACCATAGAACTTGTCGGGTTTTATTTCGACAGATAAGATTATTCATATTTAATTAAAACTTAAATAAAATATGACGACTTTAAAATTAATCGAATAAAATATTCACCACTACAATACAGGACACTTTAAAAAAAAGGATTATTTTAATTCAGTAAGTTAAATAAACACTGTGCCTCAAAGTTTGTACAAAATTCAAATTAACTTGATGAATTGGAAATTATTTTTTCTAGCACAAAATTTGTTTCATTAATTCATTTTTAAATATTTATGTCTATCCAACATTAATTCTAAGAATATATTTTAATTTTTTAAATCAACAAATAATTTTTTAATCATTAAATATGAAGAAAATATTTTATTCAGTAATATTGAAATATTATAAATTATGATTATAATTTATCAAACTAAGGCAGGATTTTGAGTTAGTAAAAAGTTCTAAATCGAGATTTTATTTTAAGAGGAACTCACCGCACATAAATTAAATTAAAATGCACATCTTTAATGGCTGAAACCAATTTCAAGTTTTTAAAACTTTTAAAAGAGTTGAATATTTTAAGTTTAAAAAATCCTTTGATGATTTCAATCGATCTATGAATATCAAATATAGCTATTTAATAAGAAAAAATATTTTAATCACTCACATAATAACTTATTTGATTGAAATACTATAAATCTTAAATTTTTTTTAATATTCAATTACGTATATTAAAATATTATATTGACACGATTATAATGTTTTAATAAAATTGTTTTTGTTAATGCATAACGCATACATTAATAATATTTACAAATGTATGAATTAAAATATCCTAGAATATATAATATTGTAGTTAATACGAGTATAGATGTGTAAAAATAAAAATCTTGAGGCAATGAGATCTACACGATGAAAACTAATAATAAACTACTCTGAACTTAGAATTGTAACATTTTACTAATTTGTATTTTAATATGTTAACATAGAAATTAAAGCTTATCAGTTAGTATCTCTTTAAGTTTTCTATTCACAATAACTATATATGAATTTTGTTTAATAGTTAGATTTTATTAATGGAAGGTCTAACACTAAGTATAAAAATATTATGTTAAATTAATAGTTATTATTTAAACATTAAAATATATATAATAGTATACTTACATAAAACAACAAATAATGTAATCATTATATAATAAATATTTTTAGCATCACATATTGGTATATTATATGATTTTCGAGTTAAATTTATACCAAATAAACCGTTAAATATATTTTCAGTATTAAATAAATATTTATAACTCTAATTAGTTTGTGTTGACTAAAAAATAGAACCTTACTAAACTAAATAATATCTTTCAATATCATTAGAATATTTTTTTATTTTATTTTTTTTATTTATTTAAAAATAGTTATAGTTGAGTAATAAAATTATTTGTAATAATATAACTTCTAACAATAATTGTATATGAATGTATATACAAATTGTTTATTACTTGGTATTTTTTTTATTAATGTTTTATTTTAAACTTAAAAAAGTAACCGTAGTGTTAAAATTTAAAATTCACATTATTTTCACATTTTTGCAACTCTATAAAAGAAACAAAAAATAAAATATTCAAAATTTTTAAAAACGTTAAGTCAATAGTGGAAAATGCTCAATTAACATTTGTTATGAATGAATAGGTATTTAGGTACCATCTAAATTCAGTCCCAAAGTTCATTAAAAACATAATAGTAATTCTAAAAGTAATTGTTGAATAAATTAAGCACTAAATATTATATTATAATATGTTTATGTATGTAGGCCAATTAAATTAAACATTAGGTACTACTAAAATTAAAAATAAATGGTAATTAATTAATTACTTAATTGATGTATTTTTCTTGCAATGTACGAGTATGTTTATTATCTTCAAACATCCATACAGTATAATATACAAGATAATAAAAATACAAAAATAACAAATTATAACTAATTAACCTTTATTTTTATCTTATAAATCTACTTTTATATTAACACAATGCTATTACTAATGTATTTACTTTTTTTAAATTTATTAAATAATAATAAATAAATAAACCAATATTATAGTATTAAATATTATGTAATAACCATAATATTGTGATTATATTTAATTAAATATTAATACAATATTAAAATTGTGAAATTGATAAATCCGGCATTGATTTTAAAACTATTTTGGTTGTTTTCTTTTTGACCGAGCTTAAGCTTTGACATACAATCTTAACTTGTCAGGTTTGTTCAGTCGTTAGTTTACGTATGGTTTAAGATCAACAATAGCGTTAACAAATAAATCGAAATCATATTTTCTTTTCATAACAAATTGGAAATAAAAATCGTTAAAGAACAAAATATAAATAATATAAGGTACCTATACCATATTAAATAACGCTTTACCTAAAATAACCAAGTACAATATTTGATGTACATTTTTTTTTTTTTTTATCAAACACTATGGATTAGGTTTATCTTAAAGATATTTTAAAATAAGAATATTATAAAGGTGGGTAGTAGAAATCGCTCTGCTATAAAGTAGATATAAAATGTGTTTTTATAATGGATATGTTGAATTTGAATTCAATTATATATCATTGCGAATAAAAAAAAGTAAATTTTATGTTATATATTTTTTTAATATTGTTAGATAAATTTACTGTAGAAAGTAATTAAGTTTATTATTAGTAATACATTAAGTTTAATTAATTTTTACCAAAAACTTTCCATTTATAATTATTATTGTGTGTATAAAATACAATAATATACATGAAAATTGTATGTCCCCACTTCCCACCAATAAAGTATTTAAATTATAACATAATATTGAATATCGTTTTTCATGATTCTTACACATTTTGTCAAAATCTGAATTAAAAATTCTAATTGTAGCTATGTATTTCAAATATTTTTACTTGTCTATAAAAACAACTTATGAAAAATCTTGTATTAATTGTTTGAGCTTTTAGAACAAGCAAATTTCTTATTGAAATTAAATTAAAAAAAAATATTGAAAACTTCTATTGTCTATATTTAATTTAAAAAGAGTAAACATATTTTAAAAGTCATACCATATATAGAAAATTATAGTATAAATACTTTGTAAAAATGTCAAGTATTTATGGGATTATTTGGTCTTGGATTACAATGAATAATAAAAACCATTTGAAGATAAATTGTTTTTTAAACATTTTTTTCAACTAGTTATGGTGTATACACATAAAAAAAATATATCATTTAAAAATCAATACATTCATTGTTTCATTCAGAATCTAAAATAAAATTAATAACACTTAATCTAATATTTTATTGTATTACAAATAAATAATAATTGATTAATATTGCAATAAGTGTTATAATAAATGTAAGAATCATCGACTTACTAATAATTCTAATGGTTTTTTTCTTTTTAATAATCACGTTTAGTCTTAGGTTGGATAATATTTTTTATAAAAAACTTAATAAGAAAATTAAAAATAAAAGTTTATCTTTTTCATGTATAGTTATTATTATTGCAAATTTATAGTAAATATTTTGGATATTGAGTAATTGTGAAATATTTTTTAATAATTAATCATTGAGAATATGTTTCTAGAAAAATACATAATCTATTAAATATTATTTTTTCATTTTTTAATTAAACATAAAAATACTAAACCCACAGTTTATTCGATCACGCAAGTAATAAAGGTACTCTAAAATCTTAGCTGTAACTCATACAATGTTTAAAGCATGTATATTACGAATCTGAAAGTAAGATAGCTTCATAAATATCATATTTTCATAATTTAAATATCAATAACCATGTTCACGAGTAGGATATAAAAAAAAATCGGAATTTTAAAATTTTAAAAGACAATTTCCTAATTTTTAGAGAAGATTTTTTTTAAATTTTTTCTATAAAAAAATAAAAATAAACATAAAAATTAAATGAAATGTTTTGTTGTTTTATACAGTTGAAAATATATATTAGATATAAACACACGAAAAATGTTTATTTTTTATGTCATCAACAAACTGGTATAATACTTAACATTATAGTTGTATACATTTAGGTATTAATTCTGTTTTTTTTTTTTTTTTTTTGTTTACTTGCATTGTCGTATATTTTTATATTCGAATTAAAATTTTTTATCATAAAAATATTTAAATTATTCCAATAAATACAACTAAAATATTTTTTATTAATAAACAAATAATAAAAATAAATAATCCTACAATAGAGTTCGAATCCATAAAAGCTAACTCAACAAAATCGATGTAATTGAATTAATTTATTAATGCGATATTATAAACCACTGGAATTTAACGTGGTTATTATATTAGATTCGTATAATAATCATACACGTGATTCCGATTTTTAGCTGTCCGTTATTAAGTATAGTTGCTCGTTTAATTAAATTAATGTTTAAATGTTTTGTGACAAGTATACAGTCATTTCAGGTCAAAATAATGTCAATCGATAATTAATTATGAATGTAATGTTATTTAATTCGATACAGAATATTTATAAATAAATAAAAAAAAAAAATGGTATTTTGTTTAACTCTTATGGTTATAATATATACTCCTATATCAAATCATAATAACTAAAATTTAAATTAATCAAATCATTAAAAAAAAAAAATAAAAATAAAAAAAAATGTGTCTTTTAACTCTGTTCTTCACTTAAGTTATTTCAGAACTTTATATCTAATATGATTTATTTAGGTATATGAATAAAATCAACGAACACACAGACAAATTATAAAATGTTGATACACTTCTAATATTTGTTGCTCATTAAAGATATTATTAGTAACTTTTCAACTACTAATGATTATTACAAATATTAACATTTGATAATTTATCATCAGCGAATAACATAGGAAATATACAATATATGAATACTCGTTGAAATTTAACATATAATGACATTATTTTTATGTGAAGTAATTAATAATATTTATCATTTTCAGATTTTCAATCGTTGTCATGCAAATACATACGGTATACTAGTGACTGGGATTTGGACTTGGCCAAAGAAGATATCGGTATTGATTCGGACGTTTACTTCACACAATCGTTTGTGACCAAAATGAGGTAAAATTTATTCATTTTAAAAACAAAATAATAAATTTAAACTAATCATGATAATTGCTTGACTACGCATTTCTGTTAAATGATGAAACTAATCATGCACTTTTTTATTTTTAAAATACAATAGTTTTATTGTTATACATTTTTATTTTAGAAATGTCATCAAGCTTTATTACTTTATCCGATTAGATTAATTTTACTAAGTTTAGACGTAATTATCGTAATTTCTAGCATAAAATATTGACACAATATAGAAACTATTGTATTGTGGGTAGATCATAAATTAAAATTATCCAAATAAACTACATGTTGAGTTGATGGTAACTAATTTCTCACCGGGTAATGGGTCGCATCCAACAACCACAAATCAACACTACGTCGGAGGGGAGAGGAAACACAAATTTTATCACGTATATAAACTTTCCCTCTTCCTTCTAGACCTTAGTGGATTTGGACCCAAGTTACAGTGTATCCTAAGCGTAGATACAATCGTCAAAGTTTCTCTATAAAGTGTGTTCATAGGAATTTTCTCGGTACTATAAACATTAGGGCTGTGGTTAACTTCCAGGCTCCGCTGGATTTCGTTTTAAAGTGTTTGAACTATTGTAATTTTATTGAATTCATTGACTTGAAATAAACAAAATACAATTTCTAAAATATTTCCACTGTGTAAATTCGATGGATTTGAGGTTTGAAATCTGACTTTGAAATCGACATATAGTTAAACAAGTATATATAATATATTCTAGTTCTTTCCTGTTGTTCTTTATTAGAACTCTAAACAATACTGAAAAACTGACAATATATATATATAGGTATATCATTATTGAAAGAATTTTTCTTACTAATTTTGAATTCAGCTTCAATATTTTATGAGTAATATGTTGCTAAAAGTAAAATGCCATTGTTTATAAAATACAATTATTTTAATGGTAACACATATTGGGTTGAGTATAAAGTAGTTTTCGAAAAAAAGTATATATCATAAAGTTACAAGAAAATAATATACCTTAATTGTTTGGTTATGTAACATAAACCTACCATTAAACCTACTATTAAATATTTACATTATTTAATGTATTTAATATTATTTAATTTGAAATATACCTTTAAATAGTTTTATTTGTTGATATTGTGGTAAGTTGATTTATTTTAGAGAAAAATTCCTAGTTCTTTGTTTAAATAATTAGAAAAAACTAAAAATAAAAACAGAAAACGGAATTTTTTTGTATAAAATTCGTTTTGACAGAAATCAATTACTATTAAGTCTTAATATTTCATCAACTACTAATGTTAGTATTATCTAAATAAGCCGACTCCTTACACATTTTATTGTATAAAATAATATTTTATTTAAGATATGATACTGGAAAAAAAATATCCTACCGTATAAGTAATATAAAAATAAATTACAAAGAGCAATATTAATATAAAATAACAAATTCTTGGTAATATATCTGCTGACAATTTTTTTTTCGTTTTTAATCATGTAGAATGATACGAATATATTTATCATTAAATTCAAATTTAACACATCTATGACAGCAATCCACTTAATGACAAGGTACACAAATCACATTTATTAATATTAAACAGCAAAGCTTACAGACTAACCTATCCACACTTTGTTTTCATTAAATAGGTGTAGTATTTGAGTATATTAAAATATCGAACAGAAAAAAATAAATAAAATATTCTTTATTAAAGTATAGAAAAATAGATTGATAACGATAAATTGAATCAAAAGTTCATTCAAACAAAATCATATATTTTATAGTTTACGTTTTAATTACAAAGCTATTATTTTTATCTTGTGATTTATGTATTGTTTTTCACTAATATCTAATAACAACCACAAGGAATAACTGAAATTAATTTATATATAACGGTTGTAAATTTGAAATCCATTACTCGTAATAAATAACCATTTTCAGCTATTATTATATTACACGACACGGTTTTATCTACTTTAATATAATGATTATTCATGATTAAGCTATTTATAATTAAATTAAGTCCTAATATATACTTGTTTTATACATTTTATATGATATAAACGGAGCGCTACATGTATTCATTTTTCAATGATGTGTAATTTTTTTAAGTCAAGACACTTTTTATAGTGTTCATATTTTGAAAAATATTGACCAGTGAATATTTAAACAAAAAAATACAATTTTAACTATTTTTTTTCTAGTTAAAAATATATTTTTATTAGGGACTTGAATTTTTTCTCCAATATACGATATTATTTTAGAAATATACTGTCTCTGTTAAAAATATTTTTCCATGAATTGCTTATTTTTATTATTGTTAAAGTAATTTTAAATTATAATAGTAATCAAAAATTACAATATTCAAATAATCAACATGCAACTTTTAATCATCAACTTCATATATTATTTTTTAAAACAGTTATTGTACTTTTTTTCAATATCAATTTTAACATATTACCTAACTGAAGTTATAAAATGATAAATCTTTATTAGCAAAGTAACTCCTATAATTTTTTGTATTAGTCAATTATTTTTGTACCGCAATTTTTTCCTATTTAAATTATTTAAATTTGATGAAATAATTTCAATACATTACGTACAAATAATTGATTTATTTTGCATATTTTAATTGTTAATATGAGACTACCAATTTTTCTTATCCACAAGTTGTATTTTATATGAATGATTTTCGGTATATTTTATCTACACCAGATTACGGCTTATAACAATAAAAATGAAAACATATATTTTAAAATACAGTGTACAATTTAAGTACAATTTTTCGAATGCAAACTCATTTTTAAATAATTCTACAAACTACAAGCTATAGTAGATTATTTTAAATAAATCGCATAGAGAAAAAAAAAGGCATATTATAAGCAGATTTTGATTAAACAAACGTTACTGTTCCGACAGTACAAAGGTACCTGCCGAAGTATATTGGATGAATATTGTCTTATATGTTACTCGCTGTCGAATGTATAGAAAATGTTTGTAGTGGAAGTGGTGGTGGTTGTAGACAGTAGTAGTAGTAGTAGTATATCGGTGGTAGAAGTAGCAATATGATAGGAGTAGGAAATGGCGGCGGTGGTGGTGGTTACCCGTCTTGTGACTCAAACGTAAAGAAATGCACATCTGTAATTGGAAAATAACTCGATTTTTGTTCTACGACCAACCCCATACAATAATTCTCTTGGTGAATCCAATTTGATAGTTCACTGGACCAACAGTAAGAAGCAGCCGTATTTCCATCGTGATTTTTTTCCACAGAAATTTTTATTTGAAATCATCATTATATTAATATTTTATCTCGTTTTTTTTTTTTTGATTTCTCCCATCTTTCTTACCGTCCTGTCTATTTCCAATGCATCCCTTTAAGCGTAAGGTGTTTCGTTGAACAAAAGAGGCGGTTGCTTAAAATGCCGGACGCGCTTCGAAAGAAACAATGGCCTTGTCGCGACGGATGTCATTCTCCATTTGACGGGGTGTTTTCTTTAGAGCCTTAGAGAAATAAATACGATTGAATAATGCAAGAGATATAATATTGTTTAGTGAATTTCCGTGTGAAATCTAATAATAATATTATAAAAATGATAAATTTGATTTTATAATAGACTATAACAAACAATGCATAAATATTTTAATATAGTATATAATATGTTCAACAGCACATAATCATTAAAATATTATCATCTCCCCATTTTTAAATTTATTGAATTTTTGTCAAAATGAGCTATTACTGTGATTTTGATTCATTACGCGTAATTTATTATAGACTACAGTTTCCTCCTTTCCTTGTATCCCGGATGTATTATCTGTGAGAAATCGTGCTATTCGGTTCCTTTGTCATTACTTTTTACTTTCAGCTAATTCTATTTACAATATAGTAAAATGCTCATTCATGTATTGCTGAACGGTATTAACTCAAGAACCTAAAATTAATTTATTAAGTTATTCAACTTTTTAGATCTATTTTTTTTTTAAATTTACATTCAAATTATTTAAATTATAATATGAAATATTTGATATGGTGCAAGAAAATTTAATTAAACTTATTTAGATGTAAAAATAAATGCAAATAAGACAAACATTTTTTCAAGATTAAAGTTTAAAATCTAATTCTTTCTCACATTTTTCATAATTAAAGTGTATTCATATTATAAATTTATAACATAGCTAAGTACTTAATAATCAATAAATTATTTAAAAAAACGAAATCATTACAACTGTAATAATAAAATAATAACTAATAGATTCTAACTTGTTTAAACTTATTTATTTACTTTACACTTATTGTTATGTGAATATTATATTATTTTGTATAATATTAAACTTATCTAACTTACCTTCGGTATTAACATTTTTAATTTAGTTTGTAAATTCATAAATTGTTTTCGTATTAAAATCTATAATCCACCATTTTCAGTATGTAAATATATATATATGTAAATCTTACTCGATTAGGGTGGAGGAGGGGATCTGTGATACTATTAAGTCACAACTGGAAGATAAATTTTCTGTTTATCATACATTATATTGCTAGCGGTTTCAACGTTAATGTAGATAAGTTTCTGATTATCAACTTGGGTCCTCTCAATGAATATTTATTCTCATAATTCCGATTTTGACCGTTTATACCGTATAATATATAAAATAATAAATTTGCTATACACCGATAAATATCAAATAAAATGTTTATCTGTAGCTAATAATAATGTATTTTGATTTTTTCTACAAATATGTGTGTGTGTATTGCAAGTTTAAAACTCAAAAATTATAATAATGTTCATATATATATATAATATCGTAAATTTGACTTTTTGACGACACGCGACTCGTCTTGGTTAATTACGATCAGTCGGAGATAAGCCACCGGTGAAAAACATTGCGGTGGAAATGGCGCAAACTCTGTTTTCGCTCATATATATATTAACTTATACAAGTTAGAGAGAAAGAGAGAGAGAGAGAGAGAGAGAGAGAGAGAGAGAAGAGAGAGATTGATATTGA